GAAATAGGGTTTCATTCATTCATTCATTCTTTCTTTCTTTCTTTCTTTCTTCAAGGTGTTTTTGTTTGTGTGTCTGTGTGCTTGTACTACTACTGCCGGTTGTATAGAGCCAGGGCACTGAGATACCAAGCTGCAAGATACACCTCAGACACAGTGAGACACAGCCATTCCTTGTTTTCTCCCCAAGTACAATAGTGTAACGTGTTTCGGTATGTTCGAATCACGGACCTTCCCTCTAGATGTCCGGGTAGGCACTCTAACTACTGGACTTTATAGCAGAATGAAAGGTTCATTGTGTTTTCTTTGCATAATGAGATTTGATTTACGATCTAACCGCCCTTTGTATGTGAACCTTGAAGGAAAACTTGCTTGATAACGGTGTTAGTACCTACACCGAAACGTCGCACTCATTGCGATAAAGAAGTTGACTAATAGAACTAGAACCGTTTTGTATTTATATCCGAGGTAAACAGTTCAAGGACGTTCATGTAAACAATGATACTTTTTATGGCCCCAACCAATTTTAAATTGTTCCAGTTTGGGTTTTAGTTCAGTATTCAATCCTCTTTGGAATTTACCGAATGCAAAACAGATTTTTTAACGAAAAAAGGGTATGCAGCGTAATAGTACGAAAAGGTCGCGTTTGTCAGGATTGAGTGTTTGTTTCTGATGGATTGCCCGTGTCCTACTCTTGTCACACGTATGCGTCACCCTGTCGTTTACAGACCCAATATTGATCTTTCAAACCCGTCATCTTCAGTAGACGGGACAGATTGTAGAGGGTTGTCGAAACTCGAAAGGCCAAGGATCAATTTCCAAATGTTTTCACATGTTGTTAGATGAAGAAGATTTGCATTTTATGTGTTTACAATATCAGTCTAAATATTTCGGTCACGATGGTAGGAAACTTGTTTGCGTCAGAAGCAAGACCCAAACCCACTAATCATTACTGCAGAATTCCGTTACTGGGAAAGCTTAAAAGTCAACTGAAACCGGACGAGAGTTTGGTTGAGTAGTTTCAGTGGAATTCAACTTCACGTGCTGGCAACAGCTGAATTATCATGAAAACAAACTTTATATTTCTATTTATTCATATTAATTCTCAAGCACATCGTGTCATTTTGGGTGTACCCGGTATGAAAACGGCCGGAAATGTCCAGGGTGGAACGTTAGAGAAAAAACGAAAATTGTCTCCTAATATGTCCATTTTATGACCGGTTGCGAACAAAATATATTAAAAGATATTACTATGTTCATCCAAATGTGATAAAATTCTCCTCATTGTTAAGTAATAAAAATCCAGTTCTTCTACAAATTATTTCAATGTTCATTTACTATGCTATGATTACCCGATCTAAATTCATCTCAAATGTAACATAACTTTATGTGCTATGGGCCTGTGGCCTTTTCAGTGCAAATAAAGATTATTATTCACCCAGACCTTCTTAAGTCTGACACTTAAAGGTCAGTAGTATTGTTGAATGCCATTATCGCAGTAACATTAGCCATAGAGTATTGCTTTAATGGAACTTTTTAATCAGATTTCGAATACATCGTCTACAACGTGATGGACGCTGTTGAAAGGGCTATTGGCATGTTCCAAACTTGTTCAACTGAACAAGAGGTAGCCAGTATGTTCAAGGTGTCTCAGTTTGTGATTTGAAGTCTTTGGAACCGGCAGACACCAAATCTGAATTTTTAAGTCACTACATTTTTTTTCTATAGGGATGTTAATGAATTGTAGAATGCCTTTTCAGTTTGAAATGTTAAAGATCTGCCCACGTCATTGCAAGTCCGGGATCGGTTAAATCAGAACCCAGGCTTTAACAAATGAAGCCGAAACAGCACATGAACCACCTGTTAACCTGCACCAGTTCACCTGGGAGCAAGTAATTGTCCAGAATATTAGAAATCTAATATATGCTCAGCCACCATGCGCTCTACGACTGCTATCATATCGGGACACTAGCAAGAGCAGTCACTGGTGGGGTCGCCCGATGGTCTTGTGTTTACCGACGAGAACAGATTCTCTCCAGCCTTAATGGACAGCCGTGGCTGTTTCTGGAGACATTTCCTGAAGAACGTCATGGGAACATCAATCGTTAGTCTAAGCCACATAGTGAGTGCTAAACGCCAGTGTGGATCCGGTGTCATCTCGCTGATGTGATTTGCTTCACGTGATGAATTAGAATGTCAAATGCGATGACACAAATATCTATCATTTGAAGCGTATTTAAAATCACAAGCACACATTCACAAAGAGAAATCAAGGTCTTGAATTGTGGTTCACAATTACTGTTCCCTTGTATTTGCATCTGACCAGTTGAATTGTCTTTGTGTGTGTTTCCGAACACGTGTATCTACACTATTTTGTAACGGACTGCAGAGCACATAGGGATGAGTTCACGGTGGCGTCGTTCAAGCAAGTTTGGGGATAATATATTTCAAGTAAACGATGTAAAACGGTTTACTGGGCTCCGCCCCATAGTTGAGCTTTTGTCGCCCTTTAATATATTATTTGTTTACAATATGATATATGTGTGTCGACTGGTCCATATTGATTTACAGTGGAAGCCCTCCAAACCGGCATACGTTGGGACCGGCAATATCAAATGCCGGTATAGAGGGTGTTCCGGTTCAGAGAACTTTTCCCTTTTCAACCTGAGAAGGACAGTTAACAGACTTTACCACCTTTGGCTGAATCACATTTCTTTGATAGGGTCTTATCCAGTATAGCACGGAAAAACAAACCAGTCTCATCGCAGCTAAAGTCATCTTCAGGCGCATATCCATCAATCAAAGTCGGGAGGAGGGACTTAAACTTGTCAACATCACTCTGATCTACAATGGCACTTTCGCCGCTCACTTTAAACTGTTTGATGTCGTATCGTATGAGAATCTATATATCCCATGGATACAGGCTCCGGGGTGGGTGTCACAGCATATACCCCAAATGACCAGGACATCTTGTCAACAGGCAGACGACGCACGAATATCCTGAGTTATTGCCCTTGCACCGGATATTTTCGGTTAAAATTGGAGTTTATGTTCGAGATAATAGAATCATATCATTATATACGAATTGTGGTAAGGAAAGCAGTATTTACACAAGGAGCTTATGATATTTATGCTCCTCTACATGGAAATCCATAACGACATTCTGAATGCAAGCACAGATTGTTTGTTTTCTCGTGCTTCCCACCATTGCAGCGAAGTGAACGACCAGGAGAAGTTGTATGTGTAATCGGACCCAGTGCTTCTCTAAATGGGGTTTTATTAATTCCGAACCCACAAAAATGCAAACCAGGGATTTATGTTTTGAGCCACGATCAGCATCCTCGGGGGACAGTGATATGTAATCACACGTGTTACTGAGTCTGACTATATAGATCTACGGGCACTCTCGTCCACCAATACAGAACGCATCCACGAGGAGCAAAAGGAAGATATACGACGTACATCTATAGACGAAGAACAGACGCAATGGCAATACATGTTTCACGTTTGCTTGTTTGTTTCTTGTTTAACGACGCACTCGGCAATATTCCAGCTATATGGTGGCGGTGTGTCTGGACCAGACAATCCAGTGATCAACAGCATGAGCATCGATCTACTCAATAGGGATACGACACGTGTCGACCAAGTCAGCGAGTCAGACCACCAGAACCCGTCAGTCGCGTTACAGTGGAGTAGCATCATAGGTATTACTACAGGGAAACAGCTGCATCGTTGTTAATAGAGCGTCGGCAGACAGAGTAGGTTTATCAGAGTGAGTGAGTATTAGTGGTGGTCCGATTAATTGAAATAATCGAAGATTGGTCGCAATGACAAAACGACCAAGCAATCGATCATGTTTTCTCATAATCGAACACAAACAATTTTGGACCACTTGTTTGCAATAACAATATTTTTCAAAGGTTGATTTGTCCCGACATTGCATAAGCACTACAAGCTCGTTCCAAGTAATGATTAAGTTTATCTTAACAACTCTAGGAAATGTATGTTCCTAACACACTAGTCATCCTTTAAAGATGTGAAATTTGCAAATGCATTTTGTGCAATTTGCGGGAAAAACGAGAGAACTACATGTTTTTCTTTACATTTTTTTGTGCATTAACAAACATAACCAGGAAAATTTGATAAATGACGCCAACCAATTAATTTCGATGATTGAACGGTTGTAATGAACCAATCATCAATTATGAGGATTTACACCAATTCCCAACACTAGTCAGTATGGTTTTATGCCGCTTTTAGCAATATTCCAGCAACATCACGGCGGGGGCACAGGAAATTGGCTTCACGCATAATACGCATGTGGGGAATGGAATCCGGGTCTTCAGTGTGAGGAGCGGACGCTTTAACCACTAGGCTACCCCACCGCCCCAGGTTCATCAGAAATAATCGCAGCAGTTCAAATAGAAACAGAAGTAATTGACGGTTTAGTACACATGGCAGCTGCATAGAAGCAGCGGCTCGTAGACGAATCACAGCAAATATGACAGCTTTGACAGAGTGAGTGAGTGGGTTTGGTTTAACGGTAACTGTATGTCAGTTATATCACCCCGTGTCATCTTGTGGTAGGAAAGATGACGTGGTCTAAGACGTTTAAAGTTTGCTGAAACCACCACAAATGTGTGCCGCAGGTATATAATCAAACCTCGATATATAATCAGAGTAATAAGGCATTCGAACACAACCCTATCTGTCTAACGCGGTATCGCTGCTACTGGGCCACCCGTGCCATCCGATAACAGAAGCATATTGTAACAAGCTGGTATCCATGTGGCAACATCGCACTATTTCCATAGTAGAATACAAGACGAAGTAACAATGGTGTATAAGCTGTCACTTCTCATAGTAACAGACCCATTGATCAGTGCCATGATTGCCAGTCCTGTAAGTGGCAGTCTTTATCACAGCCGGGGGTTCCACCAGCGCGCCCGCCCCCTCCCCAGTCGAGACTGGAAGTTTCCACAGACTCGCTGACAAAACTAGCAATGGCTCGGCAACTTCCGCCACCACATACATCTGTAACTGCTAATTGTTTCTTTCCACTGGCCTTACACTTGCAGTTATCCCCCAGCTTATAATACTAGGAAAATCAATCCGGCATGCAAACGAGGTAATTGACTCAACAGAACGTTTGCTTGGAAAGAATCGGTAAGTTGATAGGCTGGGAAACGTTGCGGTAGAGAAAGACGACAGATCTTCTGAACCACCCAAGCTTCTCTACAGCGCGCAGTCAGTGTGATCTACGGGATTTTCAGCCAAACAGGTTGTTGTGGTGCGCTGTCTGGAGTGTTCGTATCAATGGTAGACTATCAATGACAGTATCGATGTCTGGGTGTGATACTGGCGGGTGACCGAGTGTGGGGGAGAGATACATGTATACATCTGTGCTCATACAGTAGGAGAGTCGGTATCATGAGAGGGAACTCGTCCACTTGGAACGCTAACTTGACAGTGGCGTACTTGGATATTCTCGGAATTATAAACGGGGACAACGGTAAGTGGCTTACATATCTGATATACCCCAGCTTCAGTGGTCATCGGGAGGATCAGTGACATTCGTATATGAAGAGTTGACTAAATAATCACACCAACTTATTTCAACTAAAGATGTCCCATGCCATTATGTAAATGACCCCCCAAAAGATTATTCTCTCTCTCTCTCTCTCTCTCTCTCTCTCTCTCTCTCTCTCTCTCTCTCTCTCTCTCTCTCTCTCTCTCTCTCTCTCTCTCTTTCTCTCTCTCTCTCTCTCTCTCTCTCTCTCTCTCTCTCTCTCTCTCTCTCTCTCTCGATCTCTCTGTGTCTCTCTCTCTTTATTGTCTCTCTCTCTCTCTCTCTTCTCCTCTCTTGATCTCTCTCATCTCTCTCTCTCTCTGTCTCTTGCTCCTCTCTCTTCTATTGTGAAATGTTCTCTCTCTCTCTTAGAATTAATTCTATTCATGAATATAATATACAGGATTTTATTTAAGAATTCAATACAGATGATAATTATTCAACACTTCGCACACCGATGTCTGCGGTATCAAATGCCATCTGTTAGCGAGGTTTAATGCAGGCAACTGGCGAGCTTCCACAATCCATGAATCATATATAGATTGAAGTGTTGTGGTTATCAGTCCGGCCTCTCATTACATTCAAAATAACAGTTAATTACACATATATAAAAATCTAATTACACGAGTTATTTGATCGGCATTCTCGAGGTGTGTGAGTCAATAGTGAAGCATACAACTTAAAGGCGTTAGTGAGAGCTAGTGTAATGTACGGAGTTTAACAACAAATAAACAAACAGCAAACAACCGACAGAAAACTATTGCAATGAAAAATGCAATTGACATTTCACAACTTGTGTTGTCATTACAATATTTATCTACTCATGTAGACTGTTGACTACACGTTGACTGTAGTAATAGGGATAGTTGACCGCAGTAGTAGACTAACGCTTAGTCTCTGAATATACAGGATGTATATTATTTTTAAACCATTTAAATTGAGAAGGAGCCCAGTCAGATGGGACATTCAGGGAGAACCTGGGGAAATCTAGACTCGCTTCATTTAGGGCTTTAGCATTGCAAGGAGGGCTAGGCAGTTGGGGAAATAATGTGGATCAGGGACTGTGAAACTGACCAGATAGATGGACAATGGTGTATTGGTTGGAGGCGCAAACGATCGGAGTAACGACCTCTAATACAAGCAAGTCTCTAATACTGACTGACTGAGTTTGGTTTTACGCCGCAATTAGCAATATTCCAGCAACAACATCGGCGGGATGCACCAGAAATGGGCTTATCACTGTGGGGGAACGTAAGCCAAGATAGCTAGACAATGGTAGACGTAGGTTGGTTGGAGGCGCAAACGATCACAGTAACGACCTCTAATACAAGCAAGTCTCTAATAGACGGAGGTATGGTCATAGTGATGCTCTTGAAATTATCACCATTATTCTGAAGCCAGTGAAGATCCGGGTGAGAATACAGGTCCCAAGCAATCTGTGATCATTTAAGGGGAGACTACATGGATCAGTAGGCCAGACTCCATCACTCGATCACCATATCACCATTGCTGGAGCTGCGTAAACAAGCGGGGCGGTGAGGTAGCCTAGTGGTTAAAGCGTTCGCTCGTCACGACGGAGGCCCGGGTTCGATTCCCCACATGGGTACAATGTGTGAAGCCCATTTCTGGTGTCCCCCGTCGTGATATTGAAGGAATATTGCTAAAAGCGGCGTAAAGCCACACTTACTCACTCTGGCTCTGTTTTAATTACCTGGTTTTCATAAATCTGTTCAGTTACAGAAGCAGCCACTAAATCTTACATGGTTCTTTCAGTAATGATGTTGCTGGAATATTGCTAAAAACTAAACTCACTCACTCACTCCTGCTATTCTGAAGAAAGATAATGGTTAAGGTATTGACTTCACACGACATCAAAGTGGTCTGATGATAATCCAGCTGGAGATGGCGACCAACTGTAGCAGCATCTGACAGACAAATCGATATTCCCGTTAAACTCTTCATCTCCACAGTAGGAACCGCACATCCCACGACTGACTCTAATGTAAGCTTGACCTGCATTCCCGACACGCAATGTCGGAGAGAAAAATAAATTGAGTTTAGGACAGGGGTGAAAATCCCGAAAGTCATCTGAAGCAGCAGACGTCCATATTCTGGGACGTGGCTCGCCTTTCACGGGATCGGTGAGCGATCACTGAGCGCACTGCGACGTGGCTTGCTTTTCACGGGATCGGTGAGCGATCACTCGGGGATCGGTGAGCGATCACTGCGACGTGGCATGCCTTTCACAGGATCGGTGAGCGATCACTGCTTGCCTTTCACGGGATCGGTGAGCCATCACTGCGACTTCACGGGATCGGTGAGCGATCACTGCGACGTGGCTTGCCTTTCACGGGATCGGTGAGCGATCACTGCGACGTGGCTTGCCTTTCACGGGATCGGTGAGCGATCACTCAGCGATCACTGCGACGTGGCTTTGCCTTTCACGTGATCGGTGAGCGACCACTGCGACGTGGCTTGCCTTTCACGGTGAGGATCGGCTTGACGGGATCGGTGAGCGATCACTGAGCGATCACTGCGACGTGGCTTGCCTTTCACGGGATCGGTGAGCGATCACTGAGATCACTGCGACGTGGCTTGCCTTTCACGGGATCGGTGAGCGATCACTGCCACGTTGCCTTTCACGGGATCGGTGAGCGATCACTGCGACGTGGCTTGCCTTTCACGGGATCGGTGAGCGATCACTGCGACGTGGCTTGCCTTTCACGGGATCGGTGAGCGATCACTGAGCGATCACTGCGACGTGGCTTGCCTTTCACGGGATCGGTGAGCGATCACTGCGACGTGGCTTGCCTTTCACGGGATCGGTGAGCGATCACTGCGACGTGGCTTGCCTTTCACGGGATCGGTGAGCGATCACTGCGACGTGGCTTGCCTTTCACGGGATCGGTGAGCGATCACTGCGACGTGGCTTGCCTTTCACGGGATCGGTGAGCGATCACTGCGACGTGGCTTGCCTTTCACGGGATCGGTGAGCGATCACTGCGACGTGGTTTGCCTTCACGGGATCCGATCACCGCGGGATCGTGAGCGATTGCCTTCACGGGATCGGTGAGCGATCACTGCGACTCTTCACGGATCGGTGAGCGATCACTGCGACGTGGCTTGCCTTTCACGGGATCGGTGAGCGATCACTGCGACGTAACTTGCCTTTCACGGATCGGTGAGCGATCACTGCGACGTGGCTTGCCTTTCACGGGATCGGTGAGCGATAACTGCGACGTGGCTTGCCTTTCACGGGATCGGTGAGCGATCACTGCGACGTGGCTTGCCTTTCACGGGATCGGTGAGCGATCACTGCGACGTGGCTTGCCTTTCACGGGATCGGTGAGCGATCACACCGGCTTACTTACACAGTTAATCTGTTTCCAGATTTGCAGATGGTCGATACAATGATTCCAAATGACAGCAGTATATTTCACAAAATTAGGTTGCCTTCCCTATTCATTAGAATGAACGGCACTGCGTTCAGGTGGACCATTGTAGCCAATGCATTCTCGAAATACGACTTGTGGCCGATTTAAAATTTTATAGAATAAACCCTTCCGCCCGCCCTGTTGTTCACAAACCAGCTCTGGCTCTACCTCCATATTTTAAGACCAGGGAAGCCCTACCTGTACATCTTTATACACTGAGTACTTCTAACTGTCCGCCGCCATATAGCTTGAATATTGCTGAGTGCGGCGTAAAACTCAACTCAACTTCTAACTGTATATCTATGGTACAAGGTTACGGAAAGGGGCGAGTGGTGACGAATGGGCACTCTTGGTGATATCAAGTCACCTGCAGTCTTACTACCAAGCCCTCTTACGACAAGCATGGGTTGACGAAGATCAGTTCTAAACCGGATCTAAGGGAAAATATAGAACAAAATATCACGTGCACGATTATTATTATTATTTGTTTTTCTTTGTTGTCAGTACATAAGAAAGACAATTCTGTGACGTTCGAGATGACATTCCATAATATGCATCACAACTCTCCAATGTATGTGCACCGCCATGTGACATTTAACGATCAACCTTGTGTTGTTTAGAATCTACTTATGTGATAAGTATGCTCTCTAATTGGGTAACACCGTACAATAACAATTATTCATACATTGTGTCATTGCGCCTATAATTAATATTAGCAGCTATACTGTAAATACTCACACATTACTGATCATGATCTACCACACTAATTACGCTTTGGCTGCAATGTGTATATGACGTGTGTGTGTGAGAGATGTTGTACTTGATACAGCAATGGTTTGATTCTTGACCTTTCGTAAAAAAAAAACCCAAAACATTTGACCAATTTGGAACTTTCTGTATAGTATAAAAGTAATGATTTTTCAGTTTCAGTTTTAATTACACCTTTGGATGTAGATTAAAGTAAACGTCGGACAGAAGGTTAAAAATATCTATAATCGTTCACTTTTTCAATCTGTGGTGAGTTTATATTTTAACTTAGCAGCCAGAACAAATAAAACAATACTATAGTAATCTATACATCAATACATCAAATATATCAAATACATCAAATATATCAAGTACCTTCTTAATAATATATTTGTACTTCTGTTTATCACTGGATGTGGATGGGAACAATACATTTAATGTCTGGGCTTTTGTTTCTATCTTGTGCAATAAAAGGCATTTAATGCAGTGATTCACTTAAATATCTTCATACATTATTATCTATACGATTTAAACCTGACGCTGCGTAATGCTAGATTGCAATTATATGCTTCTGTTTTAAGCGTAAGGACTTTAGCTGAAACACCAGGGTGCCGTTGTACAAACTTGGGAGTGGCCTCAGCGCTCATGTGACCGTAACTCCCATACCTTAACATGTCTTACGACGGACTTAACGCTAAGGTTGTTGTACTGGCTCCCATGCCATAACTGATATATTTCTTTATTTAAACGAACAACAAAAAC